TTTTTCCCTTCAGTATTCTGTGTATCTATCACCAATTCTTCCATGATAAACCTGACAGAATTGTAAATTCCTCCCAATTATTTTTTCTTAAAGACATGGCTCCTACGGCCCTCCTTCCATCTGCTCCCATTTGGACTAGTTGCTTTCTAGGTCTCTTGCACATCTAACTTGCTATGGCTTTCTTTCCTGTCACTGTGGGAATTCTCTTCACCTCTCCCTGTTTCTGGGTTCTGTATCTTCCTCTTTTTTGGTTTCAGCTCTCATTCTGGGGAAGCATATCCTTCAGTCACTTTCTGAGAAAGTATGTAAGAGGGGTAAATATTTAAGACCCTGCATATTTCAAAATGAATTTATTTAATCCTCACACTTAAATGAAAAGTTTGGGCATAAGATTCAAAGCCAAAAATCACTTTGCAAAATACTGAAGTTAGTCCTTATTATCTTCTTGCTTTATTGTGGTGGAAAAGTCTAATGCTTTCAGATCTCTATAACTGAGTATGTTTCCACTCTCCCATCCCTACTCCCGACCAGGAAGCTTTTAGGATTTTTCTTTATTCCCAGGATTCTGAAATTTGATAATGATTTGCCATCAGTCTTTTTATTACATTAAGCTGGTCTTTATTATGAAAATGCCTATCCCTCAGTTTTGGAAAATTTTGTGACATTTGAAAATTTCCTTCTTTCTTTTTCTCTATTTTGTTTCTAAATATCATGCTAGTTAGGTACTAAGCCTCCTTGATTGAGCCTCTACTTTCTCTTGCTTTTTGTCTACTTTATTGTCTGTTGCTTCACTATCTGGCCTACTTCAATTTTATCTTCCAACTTTCTGATTTTTAAAAAGTCTGATTATACTTTAAATCTCAAGAGCTCTTTCTTCTTATTATTTTTGTTTGTTTTTTATGGCATTCTATTTTCTTTTAATGAATACAAAATCTCTGAAAATGTTACAGTTGAATTTTTTTTGAAGTTTTCTTCTGTGACTTGCATTGTTTTTGTTTCCTCTGATTTCTTTTGTTCTAGGTTCTGCATTTTATGAGATGATTATCTTAAAAGGCCAGTGATCTCTGGCTGGCTGTTAATATTAAAAGCGAAGGAGTAAAAAACTAATTAGTATTAAAGTAACAACAACTTAGACTTTCTGATTCTCAGTTCAAAGTTCATTTTAAGCATAGTGTGATGTCTTTTTGTCTCCCAAATTTTGAAAAAATAAAAAAGCCAAATGATTTATTTACAACCATAAAAAATGTCTAGAATATTCTCAGGGTTGAAAAATCTATTAATAATAGATACATTTAATATATAATATTTAGTCTTTCTTCAACCTGAAATAGACAAATTATGCAAAAATCAACATATAGACTGATAAATGAAGACTTTTATCAAATCTCACAGTGCACAACTCTCCCATCCTTAAACTTCCCAAAATCTGCTCATAACAGTAATTTTTGGTTTGCCAATAATTTATTTAACAAATCTTTTATAATACAAAACCACATAGTCAGTGAAATTAAAACATTTCATACAATATCACTGTGCAGATTTTTTTAAATCCTCACCCGAGGACATATTCATTGATTTTAGAGAAAGGAGAAGGGGGGAGGGGGAGAGAGAGAGAGAGAGATACGACTGGTTGCCTCCTGTACGTGTCCGGATCAAAAACCCGCAACCTCGGTTTGTGCCCTGACTAGGGATGGAACCTGAAACATTTTTGGTGCTCAGGACAATGCTTCAACCAACTAAGCCACCCGGCCAGGGCCACTGTGCAGATTTTTAAATCAATCCTGAAAAGCTTAGAATGCTCTCAGAAACCACTCTATTATCTGAGAACCTGCAACCTTGTTGCTTTATTTTCAAGTTCAAAGAGGTGGGCAATGCATTCATAGCACAAAAATTCAAGTTTTCCCAATCTTCAAAACACTGAAACCATTATTCAAGTAAAAAGGAAAAGTCATTATAAAAAGGAATTTATCCAGCAATAAAGCCTAACGAAAACCCTTTCCAAATGGAATTTAGGGTGATTCAACAGGTCCATGAAAAATTCAAATATCCATTCTGGTTTAAGGTAGTTCTTCATTAAAATGGAGCACTTGTCTTTTTGTAACTGCTTTTCTGCTCTGGCAGGAGAAAAACAAAAACCAAAAAAATCCCCACATCTTTGCTAACATACATCATTGTATAAGAACATACAAATAATTTACAAATATAACAATTAGTATGGTCTTATTTTAAAGTGTACTATGAAATTTCAACATAATCAACAAAAGCCTATGCTTCCTCTGATATCAGTCATATACCATATAAAGCTAAATGTGCTGTCTTGCCAAAGCCCAAGGTAATTGAATCTAAAAATATACTTTTTTCTCATTCTGAACTAGTCAGATTGGTATTTAACCCAAACGTCATCAAATGTTGCATTAAACATGCCAGGAAGAAAAGATTCCTTAAATACAAACTCTCCAAATGTGTATCATACAGAAACGCCCCTAGCCACAGAAGACTGTGTGACTGCATCAAGCATGTCCCCTTCCCTCCAACACATACAAATACACACACGAAAATAAAAATTAAAAGCAATATAGACAATGAATGTGAGAACAGAACTGATACCTGGAAGAAACCTTAGAGTATATACAGTCCAATGAAGACAAGATAAACTGGAAAAACAGCTCATATTAAGCAAGTATTAGCTGGTGAGAGGGTTGGGAGCTTCATTTTTCTTTAAATTATTCTATCTACTTAGTTTCTCCTTTAGTTTTAGACTGAGACATTGGCAGTTTCTCTAATGTCAAAAAAATATATGCTTCTACTAACATCTAAATTTGGCATTAGGAAAAAAATGTAAAACTCTATTAACAAAAACTTTTATTAAAAGAGTTGTCTTTCCAGTCACTTGAAGACCAGCTTGATTAGCCATTTCCAGGATATTAAAACAGAAATTTTCTCTTTTCCATTCTCACAAGATGGTACCCTACTAGAGGAAAAGATTAAAAGATTTTTGGGGTGTTCTCAGCACCCCAAAAGTAAAACCTACTGATTTAACTTCTATTTTCTATAAAAACTACATCTTTAAAATTTCCATTATTTGCTTACTCTAAAAATTCTCAAGCAAGGTGTGCAAATTTGAACAGGTTACGTTCTCCAACATACATGAAAAAAATGTTGTTTTTTTTTTAGAACTGTGCTACTTAAAAAAAGAGGAAATGCATAATACTGTTTTTTTAGAATCCAACAGAAAAGGTTTTCCACTTGAAATGGCAATTTAAGGACATTGCTAACGTAACTTATAATCTCAGTATGAATTCTAAATTTTGAAACAACTCAATCAAATTTCTAACACTAAATATAAAGAGCAAGCAAGTTCTGGGGAAGAATTCAGAATCTTAAGTTTAAATATTATTTATTACTTAATCACTTAAAATTTTAAAAAGGTTTAACTAGAACATATTTGAGTTTAAAATCTAATTGACATATAAAACCTAAGATAATAAAGCTGCCCTTTATTTTAAAAGGGGTAGAAACTTTCCTCATATCATGATGGAAAACCAAAGTCTATCTGCCTGTTTTATAAATATCCATGTCCTTTCTGGGATTCAAAAATCTACTTTCACCCACGTCCCTTGGGTTTCTTCTATCTTCCATCTCCCTGAACATCACTGCCGCATCCAGATTACAACTTCTAGCCAAAGGCAGAGACCATGTAAGCCTCCTGAAGACTTCAAAACATTAAAGACAGGTAAAAAAAAAAAAAAAAAAAAAAGAGGAAATACTCTCATCCATGGAGCTGTTGAAAAATCCTCCTTTTCTTTTAGAAAAATAAACTTCTTGCTCACTTTAAGAACAAAACATCACTACTACATACAAATACACAGCATTCTCAAATAATAATTCCAGAGAATTAAAAAAACTTAAAGATTTTGCTAGTGCTTTGGCTTAAAAAGAAAAAAAAAGATTATTAAGGAAAGAACTGTATCCCAAAAGAGAACGGAAATAAAAGAGATACAGATAAATCAGAATTTCTCATCGAAATGTGGATTCCTTAACATTAACCAGAAGAAGCTGTGAGAATTAGTTGCTACTTCTTTATTAATTGATTCCATTTAACCACAGAGAGACTATCTCAACTAATCCCCTTATTTTAAAAATGAACTGTACATTTTACTGTAAAAGAGAAAGCTAATTCAATTCAAATATTCTCAATCCACACATACACAAAAGCATGGGCAAAAATACTGCAACAGAATCACTTTCTATGCACAGATTTCTTTAGACCTCTGTAAAGTATGGCACAAAACATAGCTCAGTTTTACATAAATTGTCTAGTATTTGACTATATTTTTGCATCACGGTTCATTGCAGAATTCTAAAATTAATATTTAAGTGTCCATACTATTCACTGTACTTATTCTCTCAAGGGAATAAGATATAAAACACATGTATTTCTAAATGACAGTGTTGAAACTTGTAGTGTTCTACCTTTGGCATATATAAACAAAATTTTTAAAACACTGTTAATGCATCACTGTATTTTAATATCTCCTGTTAAAAGAAATCACTTGCATATGAAGCCCAAACAACTGGAAAGAACCCAGAAAAGCAACAAGAAAATGACTTTTTAAAATGCTGACACTTTTCACACCCAGGTTCAGTCGTGCCAACTGGAGAGGTGTTAGGTATGACTTTATTCATTTTAAATCTCAGAAGTGTAGTTATTTCTATGACATTACAAAAACTGGAATCAAGAGCAATCTATTTGCATGGTCCTGATTCTTCTGATACAAAAGCACTTTTTAAGAAAATCATTTCTGCAAACTTAGAAGGTGTTTGGATCGATCATTTGTTTCCTATTGCTTAGAGTCAAATTATTTTGTCCCAGATTTTCTAGTGAGCAAGGAATACAAAGAGAGATAAAGGATACACACACACACACACACACACTCTCTCTCTCTCTCTCTCTCTCTCTCTCTCACTCTTCCCGCCCCCCACCCAATATCTGAACTACTTCAGACATGGCATCCATTAAGAGGTCCTTTGTTCCTAATTGTGTAAGGGTCCTTAGCTATGACCTGACTCGCACAAGAAGTACACATGGCCCCTGAGAGGCGCTTTAGTCCCCTTTGGAAGACACTGTTAGAGAGACTATAAATGACACAGTTGCAGAAACTGTTACTAATAGCAAGCCAGGTGGTCAAGAAGGATGCGAAGCGGTTGCTGTGGCCAGTGGAGCTCTCCAACAAGAAGTAGATGATGTATGGCAACCAGAGGATGTAAAACACACTAGTAATCCGGAACAGGACCATGGCATAGCGCTTGTCAGGACAGGCCTGCACCTCCCCAGTCTCCCCACTCTGGCTGCTGAACCGAGCTTGCCTTTCGCTGATTTCCTTTGTATGCTGTTGGCAGATGCGAAAGATGTTGAAATAGGTGAAGCACACAATGAGGGCTGCTGGGGCATATAACATCATCACGATGAACAGGGTGAAGTAGGGGTCGGTGTGCCAGGACTCTGCACACCACTGATACACGTCGCCATGATATCCAGGTTTGCCCCAGTGGAAAAAGGAAGGCAGAAAGACCAGTGCAGAATACAGCCAAATCAGGAAAATACACAGGCGTAGTCTCCAGGGTGTAACCAGGCTGTTATAGGTTAAAGGTTTAGTGATGGCAATATATCTATCAATACTGATACAGGCCAGAGAGGTCATGGAGACGCTCTTCAGAACTGATACTATAAAACCAAACAACTGGCAAGTTAAGGACTCCTCTACTGGAAGCGGGTAGTGGAGGAGTGATAAAGAAGGAACCAGGCAGCTGACTCCAACCAAGAGGTCAGCATATGCCATAGTCTGGATAAAATAACTTGTAGTGTGGTGATTCAACAAAGGTGCGCAGTGAAATACAAAAATCACAATGATGTTGCCAGAAATTATCAATACAGTTAGAAACACAATAATCAACACTTCCAAAAGGCATAAATTGACAGTTTCCAAATAGCCAAATGCCAAGAGGCAAAAAGGGTGGCTGCTCTGATTACCATCCAAGGTGGAGTTCATCTTGAGCTCAGGAGTGATCTCTCACTTCATGCTGCCGCTTGGCCGCTGCCAACAGTTCAAAGGCGCAGCTGCTGTCATTGCGGTCAGCTCTGTGTGTTTGTAATAATGCCCAAGGAGCCTCAGTCCCCAGGCTCGTGATGCTGCTGCTCTGATGCATTGCCTGCAGCGCAATCCCCCTTTAAGTCCTTGGAACAGGGGGAGCCAGCAGCAGTTGTCTGGCCAGTCCCAGATGCGGCCACAGTACCAGGTTTACCGTACGCATAATGCCAGGGGAGTAAGGCCAATTCTGAGTGCAATGTCTTCAGGCCAATGAGGGTAGGGGGAGGGGCAGAAGAGAAGGGAAGAAAATTAGGAGCTTCAGCAGGAGTTGCAATGAGTCTCCTCTGAACAGCTGATAGAAGAAAAGGAGAGAGCATTTTATATTTTGCATCCCAATACAAAAATCAAAGAATCTGGCTAGCTGAGGCTGGTATCACCCCTCCCACTCCGTCCCACCCCACCCCACCCAGAACTACCCTCAGTAGCACCCCATGTAACTAATTGTCCTTGCTCTCCAGAGGAGGCGCAGCAATAGCAAGCTTTCATGATCAACATAAAACAAAATCAATCGTAGTCAGATCAATCTACCCCCATTATCCTTTCACTGGAGCCTTTTTGGGGGAGAAAAGAAATCCGCTTATTGCATGTCTAAAAACATTTTACTATAATTACCGTGAATAAAATAAGCTAAAATAACTTATTTTCTTGATCCCTGTGTAATATTTTGCCTCTTTGAAAACATTTCAACAGAATTTATCTGTCTAGCTCAATTTCAAAGTGTTACCTGTAATTCTGCATGCTGCAATCCAAACAAAAGCCACAAAACATCCTTAACAGAAAGCCTCGCAAAGCAGGAATGTGCCTCAGCCGGGTTTACTGCAGAACTGAGACACAGAGGGAGGGGATAAAGGAGTAGGAGGGGAAAGAGGGAGAGAGGGGGCTTGGGAACGAGAAGCGGCGGGGGAGGGGAAGAAAAATGCCTAAGCAGGCACACACACGGGCATCTTCAGCAGCTCATTAGGATTCATCACCAGATTTCCAGACTGCATAGTGGGGGACTAACTGAACACGCCTGCAGTGCAGGGTTTCAAAGCTGTTTCCTCGTCTGTCTGGAATCCCCCTTTTGGTAGATGAACGGAACTCAAACTGCTAGTAAGGAAAAGAGGTAGTAGATGGGAGAGTGCCAGCCAGGAACTGGACTGAAACACACTGCCAGAGGGGTAATGCAGAAAGGAAACTCCTATTTTCTTGTAGCATTTTCCCAAGGAACAAAGAACAACGTTAAAGCATGCAAGTGCATTACCAGTACGTGGCAACTGAGGAATTGTAATTCAGCAGCACATGAAGTTCTAGCCAGAAGGCTAAATATTCAGAATTAATTTCCTCTCATGATTCACTGGATATTGGCCAATATTAAGAAAGAGGACCAAAATAACAAGCATACTTAAAAATCAGTTTTTCAAGAGAAAAACAAAGAAAATCTCAGTCAGAATACTGCAGAAATAGCATACACACAGAAGAAAAATTAATTTCTCCTGTATTTAACACTCTCTTATAGTTATGAGATGCCATGTCTTGCTCTAGTTCCCTGAGACATGGTACACAAATACATAAAAGATGGAAAAGTAAAGCTACCATTTCTACCGGGCTTGAAAATTACAGGAAGTTACATGGTACAAATTAGCCTCTGTACCTCAGAATACACAATCTTGTTTGTGCCTACTTAAAACAATGCAAAGTGGGATTTTATTGTGGCTCTCTGACAACGTCATAAATGATAATAATTTTCAGCTAATTAGAAAATGTATGTTTTTATTATCTTTTCCTCCAGGCGTCTTTGGATTCTCAAGTCATCCTTCTAAATGAAGTTCCACAGACCCAATATTGCAAAAGAAAATAAACAAATGTTGGTTATTTGTAAGCATTCCAGAAAGTCTGCACACCTGGGTGGAAAAGTATGTTATGTGACCCAACTTGCATTTTTTCATTTGTTTCATACACATGCTTTCTCATTGCAGGCAAATGACCACCCATAATCAGAACTCAATTAATTACATTTTAAGATCTGAGGCACTACACTGACTATACAAAGCCTGGTAGCCATATTTGACAGGTCTTACTAGGGAATACGCAATGTGTGGCACAGTAAAAAGATCATGGCACTGAACACTCATCTTGTTCAAATCCTAGTTCTAAAACTTTAGCCTCTCTTAGATTCAGTTTCATCACCTGTATAAAGAGTATCATACTCCCTATTTCATGGGGTTGTTGAGAAATAGATTTACCACTACTTATCACATAGGAAGTATAAAACTTTATTTTCTTCTCACACAATGAAAATAGCCTGTGTTTTCCAACTCATTAGGTCACATTGCTTGAGGCTGGACTCCTGAACCCTGAAGTGCCCTCTCTTACTTTGACTGCCCAGTTCTTAGGCACACAACAGTTACGTGGATACATTGAGCTGAGCTCAATGAAGGGGCCTAGAAAGAAAATGATATGGCATCAATTATTCCATCTCCACATATAATTTCTGTGTCTGTGTCTCCAGCCATGAATTCACTCCCCTCCCTCTTCCATCTAAAATTTGACTATCACAAATCTACCACCTGGATGTCCTGTAGAGACTTCAACCACAGTGTCCGAAATACAGTTTGCTCACCAAATAAGCCTCTCTTGTTTTTTCCCCCAACATTTTCCCAGGCACTCAAGAATGAAACTAAGGAATCATCTTGACCACTCTTCTCTCCCTCCATGTACTGTTCTTAGGCACCCCACCCTGCCCTGGAAATCTGTTTCCACAACAGCTCTCAAATTCATGCCCACTTCAGGGTTTAAGCTTTACTTTAGTCCATCATTAAATATAGTCTAGACTTCTAGTCTTATTCATTTTTCTAATGTATTTTAAAAATATATTTGTATCTAGTACCACATACTTTATTTTAGTACGCCACTGTTCAAGAAGCGTCAATGGCTCCCTATTGCCTTTCCAAACTGATACCACGTCCCCCAAACACCTGGCCCTTCAGCCAAACCATCTGTCATACACTTCATTTTTAAACTCACATTTTTGAGGGCTCAATGACTATCAAATGAAAATGAGGAATGTTTTCTGAGAGTCACAGTTCAATAAACAGAAAAGGCACTTGCCAAAGTGAGGAGCCCAGGCTTTTCCAAATCCTTGTGAATTTGGGCATGCCGTTATTCTAACCCCAGGCTACTCGTGTTTGAAACTAGATAGTTATGCTGATAAAAATGTATTACACTGGCTGATAACTTGAAAGAATTAAAAATGTAATAAAACTATAAGCTGTTATATTATCATCATTAGTACAATAACTGGTCTTCCAACTTTGTTTTTATTTGAGTGAAATCACTCTTGGAGCTATAATCAAAATATTCATACAGAAAACTTTTTAAAAAAAGCCTGATAGCCACACTTCATAAAATCAGTCAAGAGCTAAATGTTTTGTTTTGAAGAAAAGTATTTTCTTCAGAAGGGGCAACTTATTAATGACATGGGGGCAGTAAGTCTACATCTGCACAAAAATGTATACATTCGTTTCCTTCTTAAAATAATGCAGCCTTATATATTTGATTTTTATAAAAGAGAGAAGTATTTCTGCATATATATGACTGAAAGAGAATACATTAAAATTCAACTCTAGCCCCTCAACTCCAGTGTGGCTCAGTTGGCTGGAGTGTTGTCCTGCAAACTGAAAGGTCGTGGGTTCAATTCCTGGTGAGTGCACACGCCTAGGCTGCGGGTTCAGTCCTCCTGGTTGGGGTATGCATGAGAGGCTACTGACTGATGTTTTTCTCTCTCTCCCTCCTTTCCCCTCTCTCTAAAAGCAGTAAGCATGTCCTCAGGTGAAGATAAAAAAATAAAACTCAACTCTATTTTTCACTGGGTGGTTGGATTACAGTGATTTTTTATTTTCTTCTTTATGGTTTATTTTATGAATTTCCCAATTTCTATATACTATTGCTACATATCATTTAATCAGTTTAAAAAAAACCAAACAGCCAAAATAATATATAACACATCCCTCTGGGTAAAGCTAACAAGAACACGGGGCTGCGAGATGCCCTGTCTGAGCCTCCCTGAATGGGTGATGGCAGATAAAGTCACCCACTTCATGGGGCTCAGTTCCACTTGTCCCTATGCCATCACAGCAACACTCCTTCAGAGTCACTGGCCCGCAGTTCAACTCAGAACGAACCCTCAGGGCCCTGGTTACAAATTCTTACAGAATTAGAACGGACTAAACAAGAAACTATCACTATTTAACCATTTCATTTCTGGTTAAGTATTTTCCTGACCTACAAAAATGGTAACTTTTATATATATGATTTGACCTAAGACTAAAAAATTAAAATAACAACGGAACTAAAAAGAAAATAAAGAAGAGAAAGGAAACATGAAACAAAAAAGGAATACTTTTTATATTACATATGTCCTTCTTCCAACTTACTCAGTGGCTTAACTATTTGTTATGCACAAGGAAATGTCAATCTCAGTTCCTCAAATTCATCAGATTCACTTCTGGGCACTGTCACTTATTATTAGGTAAAAGTGAGCTTAAAGTGTTTATTTAATTAACATATTATTTTAGTGCAGCAGATGGGGGTGTATTTATAGGAACATTATTACAAAACCAGTTTGAGGTACTCTGATTCATCCTTTATTCCTCCCTCCTCATCTCCCACATTCATTCAATCAAGAACTAAGGATTCTACCTCTGAAATTTCTTCAGAGTATTTTTCTCTATCCCTTCTGTGACTACTCCAGTCCAAGTCACAATCATGTGTTGCCTAAATTCCTAACAGGTTTTGCTACATTAATCTTACTCCATTCTAACTCCAGTAGCCAGAATTATCTTTCTAAAATTAAAAACGGTAACACAAATAATAACAATAACTAAACAGTAATTCATACTTACAATGGTCATTATCTATGTTAATTTTAACTCTACAAATAATATACCATTATCCCATTTTACAGATAAGAAAACAAAAGTCTAATGTTAAATCACCCACTGTCAATGGCTTGAATGCAGAAGAACTAGGATTTGAATCAAGACAATTTGTTTTTAGATGGACACTCTAAACCAATTTGCATACTGCCTTCCAAACCTGACTATATCATCTGCCTGCTTAAAAAGCTTCAATGACTTTCTACTGCCTAAAATCTTAAACATGCCTTGTGTAGGCTTTTGAAGATCTGGTCCCCACCTACCTTCTCTGGCCTTACCTCCTTCTGCACACTATGAAATTGCCACGCTTTCTCACCCTTGAGCACATGCTTTTCCCTCTGACTTTTACCACCACAC